AAGGCTCAAGAAATACAAAGAAGGATCACGGCTGCCAATAGATGTGTCTTTGGACTTGGCCGACACTTAAGAAGTAGGTACCTCTCAAAGAAGACCAAGCTGATCAAATACAAGACCCTTGTTCGGCCTGTTTTGACATATGGCTCAGAGGCTTGGACGATGACTAAAAACGATGAGATGAAGCTGAGTGTGTTTGAGTGAGGAGTCCTCAGAAGGATTTATGGTCCAGTAAAGGAGGGTGATGTCTGGAGGAAAAGAAAAAATAGAGAGCTCAGTTCTCTCTATGCAGACATCGACGTAGTCACGTATATTAAACTGGCCAGACTAAGGTGGGCAGGGCATGTGGCCAGAATGAGCACCGTTGAAATACCAAAGAAAATAATGATGGAGGAGCTGCATCTCGTAAGACGGGTAGGAAGGCCGAGGACGAGGTGGTTGGACAACGTAGCCTATGATGCGAGAACCCTGCTTGGTGTACGGAACTGGAGAGCTGCAGAAGAAGACAGAGCCAACTGGCGGAGGCTCTTGGAGGAGGTCCAGTCTCGGTAATGGGATGTCGTGCCACATATGATGATGATGATAAATATTCAGGACGCAGTTATTATAAAATTTGTATTAGTGCCGACGTTTCAACCCAAACATTTGGGTCATCATCATCATCGGGGCGTGGTTCGAGCATTAAAGTTATTCAAGAACTGAGCAACCTTACCTAATACCTAATACTCTCTAATACTTTCAGTGCTCGAACCACATGTTTGGGTTGAAACGTCGCCACTAATAAAAACTCTATAATGACTGCGTCCTGAATATTTATCACCCATGATATGTAGAAATTCCTTCAAAAATTAATATACATATATACAAAAAAAAAAAATGAAATAATAGATAGAAACTAAATGGAATTAAAAAAGATAAAACACATTCACACCAATATACAATGTTTACATTCTCCCAGGAGACTCTCAGCGATTCTTTGTCCTTCAAATGTGTTAGCCAAGGCAGGACTCCTGAAGATCCCAGTACTTCTGTCCTAGCCGTGTCACTGGTAAAATCAAATTAAATCTACTTTAGAGGATGACACTTTGAACATTGGGCATTTAAGTCCTGTTAAGTGAAATCAACAGGGATTATACATAACTAAATGATATTAAAGATTACTTACAAAAATAAAAGAGCAAACCTAATGCTCAAAGGATAATTACTTTGGATAATCGCGTCCTACGCAGGACATTTACAATTTGCGTCACATCACCTTCTAACTTACGCAACTGTTTTTCAATTTAAGGATTCTATTTATTGACTATCTACTTCTGTTTTTAGCTTTCCGTTATATCTTTAGGATTTTCGGCTCGTCTAAAAATAAATCAAGTTTTGACAATTGACGTGCGTACAAGTACAGTACGGCTAAATAATTCATGACAACGAAAATCTTTACGTGTGAATATCTCCTTAACAAAGTGTTTGCCTACATACCTTCAGAGGAAATTTTTTTCTTGTTTAGAGGTCCTTATTTCACTTTTGGAGCACTTGACCCTGAAACACTGTATATATATGTATGTACATTATTTACCATTGGGCCATATATTTGAAGAAGTGGAAAATATCCCTCGAGTTTAATAGCTAAGCAATAAGCCACAGTTACAATGGTTGTATCGATTAAAAGTTTCAAGCGCAAAGGTAGTCATAATTTTAATGAAATGGTTGTTAAAAGAAAATAGATACAAGAACAGCAATGTCATGACCGAGTTTATCCAAAATCGTTAGAGCCGTTTTCGAGGAAATCGTAAAAATATGTTACATCGATGATTCTAGCAAAAAGTTTCTGTAAAATCTCTGATATATACAAAACTTAAATAAGCAAATTCACTTTCGTAGGACTTTTCGTTTTTGATCTACACTGATAACATACACGCAGACCATTTTGGGGAAGGTTATTTGGGCTCAGTGAACTTCAAAACGTGTATTGTTGATGAAAACTGAGATTCGAAAATTTTTACGGTCGCAATACTTTCCCTTACTGTATATTACATATATAGGTAAGTGAAAGTAAAAAATCATTGCGGCCTCAGTTATCACTTCCTAACCTTAATGCGGTCACCCACCTATGATCTGTACTATATGATTATATAATGATAATTAGCGCTAGTTGTCTATCATTAAAAAGAAAATAAAGTCTTCGTGAGCGTTTAATTGATATAGTTTCTTTGAGGAACCTTTCATTGCAAATTGCCTTTCACTGTGTGTTCAGCTGAGATTAACCTGATAATTAATGGAGAATAATTTGTCGGTAACACTCTACTTACTTCCATGGCTTTCGTTTAGTGTTGCTCTGACTCGAGCAGTATTTGCTTTGAAGAGGTATCTTAATCGTTACGTCCTTGAATAACAAATTGATTTCTAATAATAAGTTAATAACAACGAATACAAAAATCGACAAGAGACACAGAACAGATATCTGTTTACAGTTAAAAATTCCAATCAAGAAATTCCAAAACAACCAAGGAGTTTAAGTTCTAACGAATCCCCACCTTTGGGTTAATTATTTAATTCATGCATTTAACACATGATGTTGGATGGGGATAACCATGTGGTGAAGTTTGCAATTGTTTCAGATTATTAAGTGTTAGTGTCGTGTTTCATTGTAGTTAACAACTATAAAAACTGGTTTTGTTTTGTAGGTAGGTATAATTTTAAGAATTAATATATTATTTAATTTGAAATTGTAATTAATAAAGATCTTGTTTTGTAGAAGCAAAATCAGTCTTATTATATATGTATATATATATATATATATATATATATATATATATATATATATATATATATATATATAAACTATATCTGATTATTATAAGTGAGCATTTTCAGGATTATACCATTTTTTTTTTCATTTCCAGCTTTCTTTATTTTTTTATAAATGTAGCTTCTCTTGTTTTTTATTTTTGTATCAATTTTTACTCATCAGAAATATTATTATTTTAATTTTAAGCTTCTTTTATTTTTGTATAAATTATTTAGAACTTTATTCGATTCCTTGTCAATTTTTATCAATTTATCAAGACCAAGGAGAAATTTATATTTTCTTATGTTATAAATTAATTTTAACTGAATATTTATTTCGAAACACCGAAAATTAATTTTTTTCATCTCAAAGTTTATTTTATGTTAGCATTGTTTTTTATATTTCTAAACTTGACATGCTTAAAAAATGCTATATCCTATCCTCAATCCTCCATCATTTTTTTTTCCCAAAATTCTACTTCCCAACTCTCCAGTCATGATTAATATCCTGAATTCCTGTCACATCAATGCACAATCCCTTACTGCACACTATGATGAATTTCAGCTACATTTCCTTGATAATTTTTACCACATAATAGCAATATCCGAAACCTGGTCAAAACCTTTTATCCCTTCCTCCCAGATTTCCCTACCCATTATTCCTTCCTGCTATTGTAATAATATAGAAAAGTAAAATTGTAAATAGTTACTACTGTAAATATGTATATAAATTATTAGAGCGTTCTTGATTATTTTTATTTCATGTTTATTTTCAATTTTTTGTTTTTTATTTTTAACTGATCTAAATTAGTAAGTAACTTATAATTTTTTCTATTATTTTTTTTTTATTTTGACTATTTAATTACTCTATATTTTTGTTTATGTATCTCTAAGGCTCCTTAGCCCACATTTTTGTCTTTTTATATTATGCTAAAGGGACTCGTCCCAGAAGCATTATTATTATATATATATATATATATATATATATATATATATATATATATATATATATGTATATATGTATATATATATATATAATCGTATAGGAAAGAAAAAAATATATAGTTATTCATAAACCAGAACATTAATGGGATATAGCCAGTATATACAAGAAATAATAGCTACATATTTCAAATGAACAACTAGTAATTGGTATGCTGGGCCTGACCATTTTCAGAGCAAGAATTGGAATAGAAGGGTTTTAAATGTGGGTAAGAAGAAGACAAGCCGAATTTATTTGCATCGTTTTTCCGAAATATATTACAAGAAACGAATTAAAAATGTAATCTGTTTCCTCTTATATATATTTTTTATTTGTTCTTTTTGTATACTTCGCCGAAATGGTTATTAATCTATACTAATCTACTTGACAGAAATTTTTAATAAGAAATATGATTTCAAGACATATATTAGGTCTAACAATTCTCCACTTATCCCAGTTGAACAAATCCGTTACCTAGGACTCCACCTCGACAAACGATTCACATGGAATCCTCATACAAGACTGAAACGACAAGAAACCGCTCGCCGTTTCCAACTACTCCAACACTTACGAGACAAACGCTCTAAGCTTTCAATCAATTACGAACGACTCATATATATGACAATAATAAGACCTATTTGTACTTACGGAATTGAGCTGTGGGGCTCCGCTAAACCGTCGAATTTCTCTCTTATCCAATCCTTACAATCCAAAAATCCTTCGTAAAATCCTCAACGCTCCTAACTTTGTCACAAATAAAATCATCCATAAAGACCTTAATGTTCCATATGTTTCCGATTTGGCCCAATCGAGATACCTGTCCTTCCATAACAAACTGCAGAACCATCCGAATCCTCTCGTTTCAAACCTTGCTTCCTCCTCGATCCCTGATAACACTCCGAGGCGTCTGAAAATAAGATGGCCTCGGGATTTTCTAATATAGAACTTTTATTTGAGTTCTACCAATGGGTAATTTCTCTTCATGTTTTTCATGTCATGTTACCAATGTCACATTTACTTTTTGTATTTTTAATGTAATACAGTTGTAAATTACATTAAAATAAAAAAAAAAATAGGTCACTTTCAGACTTGCTTTGTTATGATATTGCATCAAATTATTGAATATTGGAAACAAGATACTCATCCCATAATCAGTAAATTAGATAACAGTATTCAATACGATCCTGCCCTAAATCTTAGCATTCCCGAAGAGAACGCCATTACAGAGATAAGAGGTATCAACACTTGACGGAAGCCCAGCTGTTCAGTCAGTGTTCGTTACACGTCTGAACTCTCAGGTTGTGTCCAAGCTCTCAGCTGTTGGCTATCTTACGACTTCTAAGGTAACGTAATATAATTAATATAACCCAATGAGAACCCTCACATTAAATAACTACCTTATCTTCAATGGCTGTGACCTATATATAATATAACTAGCTGACCCGTGAGAATACTCCGCACACACCTAATAATTACATCTCATTTTAATACATTAAGGGAACAAATTCCATTCAATAATGTTTGATGGGCAAAGGTTTATTACATATATTTTGTAAAAATTCAAAATGTTTCTTTCTATATTATGTGAAGTATCCAAGAGATCATATGGCTATTCTGCTACATTTAATTTTTGCAATAGATTTTGAGTCCGTCGAAACCTAACCCAAATTGAAATATTTAAATATTTTAAAGAGAAGAATAGTTGGTCTGTCAAAAAAAAAGGCAAAAATAAATTTTTATATTTCTCATTTCTTGTTATCTGGTTCTCTTCTTGGCCCTGATGATGGCCTGAACTTCAGGTCGAAACGTCGGCATATGTAAAAATAAATATTATCATTTATTTTTGCCTCCTTTTTTGACTGACCACCCCAACTATTCTTCTCTTCATTATCCACGACAGTCAACTATTTACCAATTATTAAATATTTTATAATTAAATTCCGTGGCAACTTTAGCATATAAAAAGTTAAAAGTTATATCGAAAATGGCACATCTTAGAACTTAAAAACATCTGGTGTGTCCACTCACACGACTTTCCTACCTATTTCAGAAAAGTTTTTATATATTTATCTATGTTCATAAATAAACAAAAAAAAATTGAATTAGATTTATTTTCCTGAAAATTGATCAAAGAAAATATTAGAGTACGATTTATTTGATAAATTAAAGAAATGTAAACCGTCTTAAGGTAGATCAGTGTAAAAATTTCAATACTCTCTAATATTGCTATTCAAAAACTTGTTGACATAGCTTAGTATTGTCAAACAATAATTTATGTTAAAAGTAGAGGAAATAGTGAAGCTTGTGTGATGCGGGCAACAGATTATCTTACTTTCACTTAGTCATCTTTTTTCCCTCTTTCACCCCTTTCTGACACCAGGATATAAACCCGTAATCTTACATTGGAAATTGAATAGCTGTAACTCCGATATTAGTTGTCCAAAATTAACGATTTTCATATAGTTTTTTTAGGGAATTTCATTACCTTTTAAAATAAATGCGACTTAGGGGTATAGATCCGTCGAAAACCGCATATATGACATCCGCATAATTTGACCCGATCGCAATACTTTCCTTACCTAGTGTAGATAGGAAAGTAAAAATGGCCAATTTTCTGTAATATAGCTTTACTTTAAACCAATTCTAATGATTTTTTTTTTTCATTCTGTTCTAATGATTCAACTTGAACATATATTGAACTAAGGTGTGCGTGCTTTAAACAACACGATATAAGTGAGAACATCAACAAGGCGTGATTAATGATGTGAACTATAAATGATAAATAATAGCCCATTAAGGAAAGGATGAAACGCTAAAAATTTTCCTCCTTTACAGTGTGCAGGCCCGATTTTTAGTTTATGGAATATTTTCATCCATATCTTCTATAAAACTCGTTATAATTTGGTTTTCGAAACTATTTTTTCTCTTTTCTCCTCACCAACACGGCCCACAGTGGTCGGAAATGGCATAAAATCGGCAAAAACAAACTTTCAATTTAAGCAAGATATTTGAAAAACTGAATTTATAAGAGCATGTCGGGCATTCTGAATTAATATACAATAAATTTTTTTTTGCTGAGACCAACCGTTATTATTATTGGTAATTTTTTCAACTATAAATAAAATATATTTTGAATATAATATGTTGTAAAAGGGAAAATTTATTGTATAAGGTTATTGACAGAAAAATGAAGATAAAAACAAATACAACTGAAAACATTACCTTCAATATCTTCCTTCGCATTTTCAGAATTTCTGTTTCTATACTTTTCCTGCAGTTTTCTATAACGGAAAGGAGTAAATTATATTAGGTATAAATTTATTTAGATTTTAGATAGATAGATAGGTAGGAATTTGGTCTTGCTCTTTTTTGGTAAACTTTCTTATAACTAAATTTGCCAAATAATTACCAAAATCTCAAATTAACGCAGCTGATTTTTGTATTCATAGGCACAAACATGATTTTTGTACATAGGCATAAACAACAAATCTACAGCTAATAAATACAATTTAAAGTTTAGAAAGATAAAAATAGTTACAGTTGAATATGATAGAACAATTGAATTAAAGTTATAAAAATTGAAAGTTAAAGAACAAAGACAGTTAAAATATAGATTAGTGATTTTAAGAATAAAAGCTAAAAATATGTTTTAAAAAACAAAAGTTAATATCAAAAGAAGAGAAGTTAAAGGAGAAGAATTAAAAGGAAGATATAGTGTACCAACGAAAACAAAAATTGAGAAATACTTTGCTTCTTTTTGCTGATTTATATCTACAAAATATTTCTTTTTCGTGTATTGTAATACCCATTTTTTTCTGAAACGAATTATCCTGTCTTAAACGACCTCTTTGACGCTTGAGCGATTGTGGTAAAAAATCGTAAGAGAAATCCATTATATTGACAGAATACATTAGTTCTTTTCTGTTTTGAGCCACGTATTCTTTTTGGCTGTTGAATGAATACAATTAAATTAAAGAAATTTGTTTAAACTTTATCGTTAAAAACCACTACAGACGGTCAAATAAAAAATTTTAAAATTGACATTTACTATTCCTTAAAAAGATATGATATGAAGTATAATATTACAAATATAATGAAAATACAAGCCTTAATTCTAACTATTAATGTACGATTTTTTTTATTAATGAAATTTATAACTTTATACAAATAAATATATATCCAGTAAATGTGATACAGAGAAATACAATGGCATGAAAAAACTTTTAGAGGAACTACCCATTTAGAGTAGCACTTTAATAAAGCATTTAAAGTAGGAGATCACGAGGCTTCTTTTCGGACGTCTCAGGAAGTTATCAGGCATCGAAGAGGAAGCAAGGTTAGAAACGATAGGATTAGGATGGTTCTGAAGTTTATTATGGAAGGATAGGTATCTGGATTCGGCCAATTCGGAAATATATTGAACATTAAGGTCGTTGTGGATGGTTTTATTTGCGACAAAGTAAGGAGTATTGAGGATTTTACGTATGATTTTGGATTGTAAGGATTGGATACGAGAAGGATTCGATGAGTTTAGTGGAGCCCCAAAGCTCAACTCTGTATTTCCAAATACGATTAATGTAAGAATTATAAACAAATTTGATCAGTATTATGAATGTGACTTTTTATTTTAAAAAAAAAAATATATATATATAAGAGTAGAGGTTGCTTCATTTCAAACCAATTAAATTACGAGAAAAAAAAATCATTAATCATTCGAAAAAGTGTTTTGTTTTTTAATGGAATATATTTAACATACGAGACCCCACTGACCAAGGTAGACTTACACTAGTTTTTTTTTATAATGGCTCAAAAATATGTAAATCCGGCCGAACTCCAAATGTTCGAGGTTCATCGCTGACTGTATTACCAAATGAAACTTCATATTCTATTTAATATGAAATTTTCAAAACCCTGAAAAATTTAGTGTCCACGTTATGTTTTACGCTTTCTTTTTTCTTTTTTCATCCCTTGAATAACTAAGAGATGTTTATAACACATGGAAAATGGTATAACATAATATGGTATGCTACCTTACTATAAACAGATATTCAATCATGCTTTAAATACGAATACATATTTCTAATAAAATCTCATAAACAACTTATTGATAACAAATAATCCTTAAAGGTAATTCTTATTTAAAAAATCTGGTGTGTCCACTCACACGACTTTTCTACCTATTTCAGAAAAGTTTTTATATCTTTACATATGACCATCACGAAATAAAAAAAAATGAATTAGATTTATCTTCCTGAAAATTGATAAAAGAAAAGATTTGAGTACGATTTATTTGATAAATTAAAACAATGTAAACCGACTTGAGGTAGATCAGTGGAAAAATTTCAATACCCTCTAATATTGCTGTTCAAAAAGTTTTTGCCATAGCCTAATTTTGTCAAAAAATAATTTCTGTTAAAAGTAGAGGAAATAGTGAAGCTTGTGTGATGCGGGCAACAGATTTTCTTACTTTCACTTAGTTATCTTTTTTCTCTCATTCACCCCTTTCTGGATATAAACAATCTTACTTTGGAAATCGAATAGCTGTAACTTCGTTAATGGTTGTCCGAAATGAACGATTTTTATATAGTTGTGTAGAGAATTTCATCACCTTTAAAAAAATCAGGGGCAATTAGACCCCAAAACATTATTCTTCTCTTTATAATTTTCAATAATTCAATTTCTTTATAATTTTTTCCTGAGTTTTTTGGGAATTTAGTCCATGTACGAAAATTGAATTGACAATTATTAGAACATTATAGGGAATTTTCATCAAAATCGTTAGAGTCGTTTTCGCGCTACAGTCTATAGAACGACATGTTTTTCATTTATTGCGCAGCAGCATCAGTAGTCAAAACCCTACAAGATAAAAAAAAAAAAGCAACGAAAAAATGTTCCCGAGAAAATCTTGGCACACACAGACAGGTAGACCAAAGACTAAAAATGTGTTTTTCGGACTCAGGGGGCTCTGAAACGTATAGATCCGTCGAAAACCGCATATCGGAAATTTTACCCGATCGCAATACTTTCCTTACTTAGTATAGGTAGGAAAGTAAAAACAAATTAAAATTCAAAAGATAAAATTATCTCTTAAAACAATTCTTAAGTAGGTAATTATCTAAACTAGGAAGTTACTGAGCGATAAGGAAGTTTTCAGTGCTTCCTATATTACGGACAACTCTGCTATGGTATCCTGTGTTGTAATGTAAGATACATTTAAGTATAATATTATACAAACAACTGTAATAAAATTAGGTTTCAAATTTGATATTCATTAAATAAATGTTCTAATGCATTTATTTAATGCGACATTCCTTGAAATCTCGTTGTAAAATGTCTTATTTTT